CCCCCTACCTCAAACCGCCCACAAAAAGTAACTTTATTCACAAAAGTCATGCACAGATCCCAATGTATCAACCCGAAATTACTATAAATAGCGGGCCTATGACATTTGTACAGGGATCTCTCTTTCTCCGAATTTCCGAACTGTAAACACTTTACTAAGCAACACGTAAAAGCCCATCACGGCTCTTCACCTCGGTTCACCTCGGACCGGGGCCATTGTCGATTCTATCTTACATGCTTTACGTTCAAATCATTCTAAATTACCCACTTAATCATAAATTATATCGTTGTTAAGAATCACATAACAACAATATTAATTATATTATTTTTGTTTATTAGTTTGTTTTATATTTATGAGTACATGTCACAACTTAGTTATTATTCATATTATTTCTTATATTTAATATTATTTTAAAACTTTATCTTGTTCTTTCACATGTTCTTAACTGTAGATTTGTCAAAAAATACATAATATAAAGTATAGAATTTTTTCGATCATCTGTCTCATTATATATCAAATATTTATATATTCTATATTATATTATATATAATTACAATTTTGTAATTAATATTTTAATTATATATTTACAATTCATAAATTCATTAATAATATTGTCGAGTCAATTTTTGTTCATAAAATTTTTAAAAATATATTATTTTCATTGATTTGCTTATGTTGAATTGAGAAAAATTATGTTTTTTTAATTATATATATGGAGGATATAAGATCTGATGGCATTAGTATATTACCAATTTGCCATTAAAAACATGTGAAAGTAAGGGTTTTTTAGGTAGTTCATTTTTTAATTAAAAATATAAATAAAATATGATGTGTATTAGTATATTACTAATTGCCATTAAATTTATGTCAAAGTAAGGGTTTTTAGGCATTATGAATTTTTACAAAAACACTCCTCCTTTTAAAGTAGTATAGATAAAAAAGAATATGTAATAACATTGAAAACAAAAGGAGAAAATTTTTTTACAAAAATGATCCGGCAAAAAAGTCACATTAGCTAATTTTCTCTCTCTAGGAAAAAAAGCCCCAAATTAAAAAACCCTTCTCTCCTTCAAGCGCCGGTGCAGCCTCCTTCCTCTCGGGCTCTCCGCCCGCTCGGTGCTGGCTGTCCCCGGTCCGCAAGGCCAGTCCCCTAGGCGTTGAGGTCCCTGCCAGGTAGAGGGTTCGTCGTCTTCAAGGTTGCCTCTTCTGTTGAGCGGTTCCAAAGGCGTCGAGTTGGGCTGCGCGGCGAGTTCCGACCGGCTGCTTTTCGCCGGTCGGAGCTGAGGTTCGGCTCCTCTCTCCCTCCCCCCTTCGATTGCTTCCCTGATTTGAGTTGTTGATGGCTTGGTTGTTCGGCCTTGTCGGGCTTTCGGCCTGCGGTGTCACAATCGGCCGGTATTTTGAGTGGAGCCGGGTGTGGGGTGGGGCTGGGTTGAGTCGTCCTCCGGTTACCGGGCCAGGGGTGGTATGTCCGGAGCAGATTGCGGTCGTCTGAAGAGGTTCCAGCTAGCCGTGTTTCACTGGAGTTTTTGGTTCGGTATTTGGGGCCGGAGTCTTATTCGTATGGGCGCCTATCTCTGGGGGTCGGCCTATGTGTGTGCGGTTTGTTTCGCCGATTGGAAGGAGGGCATTATTCTATTTAGTGTGTTTTGTTTGTTGTTGTGTTGTTTTGTTTGTTTTTCCTTTTTTTGTGTTGGTGTTGGGTGTTTAGATGTTTTTCTTGTTAGTTATCCTGCGGTGTTCTCCTCTTGTAGGAGTTGATTCTCCTCTTGTAGGAGCTTTGTCCTGTTTAGGGTTTGGTTTGTTTAATGTTGTCTTGTGGGTGTGTTAGTGTAACCTTTCTAGGCTTGAGTTGATTCTCCTCTTGTAGGGGCTGATTCTCCTCTTGTAGGAGCTTTTGTCCTGTTTAGGGTTTGGTTAGTTTAATGTTGTTTTGTGGGTGTGTTAGTGTAGCCTTTCTAGGCTCCGAATTCGGGGTCCTCCCACTAGATTCAGCTAGATAGTTGCTTTCTAGTTGTATGCTAGTTGTAATTATGTGTTTTTAGTTTTTATAATATCTATCGTTTCGTGAAAAAAAAAAAAGTCACATTAGATTTGAAGTGAGACGAAGGAAAAATGAAAATTGAAAAACTAGTATCTTTTCATTTATTTCAATAAAGATGCATCTTTTGGTTTATTTTCATTTATTTTCTGTTCAGTATTCAATATGGGACTTGGTAGATAATAAAAAACATTATGCACCACAAAATCAGGTCCAGTTAACTTGTTTGGCCGTCTCATATGGCTTGCATAAGTCTGATGTCATTATGAAGTTTAAAGTAATAGTGGTGTCTAATTGTCTAATGTCATGTATATCTTACAAATTTACTAGTATTTCCGGACATTTGTTTGTAAATGAATGCAAATTGAGACTCAACTATACAATTTTTTGATTGAACTTATCATCTAAGTTTTATATATAATAGCCAATTTGTTTTTAAGTGCAAAAACAGAAATAAGAGTCTAATTATAAATGGACTAGGATTGCGAAGTATTGGAAATTGACATCTCATGTTTCGAAAACACCAAAAATCCAACGCTCGACTAAAGAAATTCTAGGATAGTGTGATTGAATATAAATTATTTCTTTTTGTGCGAAATATTTTTTTAATTAGAATTGTGGTTAGTTATAAAAATTTTCTAAAAAACAATTCCTGTTCATTTATTTTTTTTCTTTCAAACTTATCAAACAATTACAAAATATAATTAAACTATTATTATATAATTTACAATAAAATTCACTTCATGCTCCCACATAATTTTATCAACAATTTATATTATGTCAATAATTTAATATTACATAACTTTGAATCATATTTTATTTCATATCTATTAATATATAAAGAGGCAATCTAAATAATTCCAAAATAGTAAACAAAAAATAAGATGAAATCCCGCCTAAATATTTACTAATAATAGTAACTTTTTTGACAAATTTTCGCACTACCCCGCCTATTCAAGCCCAGTTTTATTTTGAAATTTTCAAAAATCTAATCTAAAATCTCATTTCTTTTTTTTTTTGGTACATAAAATCTCAAATTTTTGAAGCATATCCAGTTGAGGAAATCAAATAAAATCAAATCATTAATTCATTATTGTTAAAGATAATTGACCACTCCTAACAAATTCCCTGTTGCGGCTCAATAGGCACATTGTATACAAATTACGATGGAGACATTTTTCAAATATTAATAATTTTAACTTCAAGTGTAACCATAAAAAAAAAAGAGAAATTACTTAAATAATTATATTATTTCTTTTTATTTTTTTATCTATTACTATAAAAATTTAATGTTTGAAAAACTCAAAAAAAAATAATTCTATTTTTCCCGCTTCGATTTCCCGCCTACAGTATATTTTCAGTAGTTTTTTGTTAATTAATTAATAGGAGGTCCGCATATATTTGGAATGTTGTAGTCATCTAAATCCTTATTTTTAGG